GGCCCTGTTGCAATAGGACAAGGGGTAATTGTTTTAAACTAAGAGGGCAGATTAGACTAGATATAAGGAAGAAATTTTTTACGATGAGGGTGGTGAGACACTGGAACAGGTTGCCCAGAGAGGTGGGAGATGCCCCATCCCTGGAAACATTCAAGGTCAGGCTGGACGGGGCTCTGAGCAACGTGATCTAGTTGAAGATGTCCCTGCTCATTGCAGAGGGGTTGGACTAGATGACCTTTAAAGGCCCATTCCAACCTAAACTATTCTATGATTCTATGAAGACCCATATCATCTCTTTCAACCCAACCTACAGATTGTGAAAAATGTATGTCCCTTGCCTACCTGTCGAAGTGCATCACACCCCTCTATGAATCATTCCAGGGTGGCACTGTGCAATTGCAGATGCTCCCCTTCAACATTTTCTTCATCGGGATCCATGACGTCAGGTTCAGTTTGACTTTGATTTTGCTGTGTGTGGCTTTGTAAGGAATCAGGTCCAACTTGCAACGTACGCAGCTACCTGCTGTGTATGTGGATGGCTCCAAACCATCCACTCAGACCTAAAGATAACAGAATTTGCCTAGTGATTCATAACATGGCTCTCATCTACCAGCAACTTTCCTCCCATTCAAGATTTTGCAAAACACCTCTGCAAATCATCAGGCAGCTCTGTGGCAAGCATGGCAATGGCTTATGGGGAAAGTGGTACTCGGGGATGGATTAAGTATTTGTAGCTATCATTTGAAATGCTTTCACAGTATCAGTCTCTTATTTTGTGGAGGATCTAACACCATGTGGCCAGCTGGTTTTGTCAGATTTTGAAGGTCCATCTTGAAGACTATTAGATCATCTAGTCTGCAGTTTCTCAAAAAGGAGGCTGGACTGTATGAGGAATGCAAGAGGGGTTAAGGGGCTGGTTTCCAGATACTAGGGGGGAAAAAAAGCCAGTGTTAGCAGCTCTGCTCCATTTCTTCTGGGTTAGGGTGTGAAAAAAAACCTCTCAGTAATTCCTGGCTGTGAGCATTGCTGCCAAGAGGGAGCAGTGGTAGCAGCTCAGGTCTGTAGGCCAGGAGTGAATGGGGCTTAGAAGGGGTGAGTGGGACTCTTACAGCTGTGTCTTACACATCTGCCTTCAGCTTGACCTTTCAAAAAGACCCTGCTCTGCCTTCCTCTTGAAATTTGCAGAGTGACCATCCCCGCATTGCTCTTTGGGAATGCTTTTCTCTTAGTGTCTTGCTGTGACTTTCAAGGAGGAATAGAAACTTTCCGAGGAAGATTTGAAGGTGGTGGTAACGGGTGGAAAAAAAATGTTCACCAAGCAAGGGCAAAGAAACCGGGGGAGGGCAGGTGGGGAAATGGTGTTGGTTTGAAGCTGATGTTTGAGCTATGATGGAGTTTCAGTGAACCACACCACAAGGGCTGCTGACTCATAAAAAGGTGGAATACCCAAAAGGAAAGCAATGATCCCGGAGCAATTGCATCCCATTATGGGATGTCAGACATGTCTTTGATTGCACAAGCCTATAATTAGTTACAGAGAATTGCGCAGTTTCTGAAGAAAGAGGAGGAAACAAAAAGAATTATTCCCTGCGTTAGTGACTAGAAGGATCAGTGGATAATGCTCGAGGATGCTTTAAATAAAATGTATTCACCGTTGATAGATTTGTATTTATTTTTGAAATTTCAGAGTAAATGCCAATGATTCAGTAAAATTTAACAAATCTTAAGAGATCCCACAATGAAGATCTGAAAGCCTAGGGATTCATTTTAGGGTGTGGTTCCTATCCACTCTGCATGTAAGAAACCTGCTTAATTACCTTAAGTATCTTTGCAAAATTATTTCGAAAATTAAGATCTCTTGGTTTTGTGCTAAGAAAGAAAGGAAACAACTGAGTTTAACGTGAACCGAAAATCGTAGTAGTAGCTGCATTACATACTTGCTAACACTAGATGGGGTGTAAGGAAATAGTGAAGGGGAAAGCCAGGGAACGGCAAAACCTTGGAGGTCCGAGCTACCTCAGGCACAGAAACTGAATTTAACTGAGCTGAGCACGGCTTCCTCCACGTTTCCAAAAGCCAAAACCGATCATAAATGGACAAGGACCTGTTCTTCCACTCTGTGCATCCCTCTGGCAGCGTGGATCTGCACAGTGTGGATATTTTAACACGCACGACGCACTGCTGTTAGTCTCATTAACTACATTTTATTCATATATTGAAAGAGTACATACATGTGTCAGTAGCATAGATTGCATCAGCTCCTCTTTACTAAAAAAAGCTCAATGTATATACAGCCTTAAAATGCTCCCACTATAGCTAGCACATTGTATTAAATCTATGCTTATACAAACTACTGTTCTTTACATGGTTGTATGTATTTTGGAATACATTAAAAATCACCAGGTGGCATGTTCTGTTACCCTTTCTCACTGTTCTGATGGTCTAACAGTTGCAATAAATTATGGATTTGCATAGTGCAATTTCTGTTACAGTATATAGGCCATGGAGACAAAACTGTTGTTGCATTTAGAAAGGCAGAAAGTATTTTTGATGCTTAGTGATTTCTGTTGTGATAGCTGCGTCCTGCAGCTTTTCTTTGGGAGCAGGAAGAGCAGAACAAGGCTTTTTTTGACACCCTGCCTTTGTTTAATCCTGTGAAATGTAACCTTTTCTTAATCAGCTGGTGCTTCCTGCCCACCCTCTTAGCTGCTTTGCCCTCCTGTGCACTAACTCAGCAGAAGAGGCTGGCCGGCGTCTGACTCCAGGCTCCTCCTGAAGCCGGGAGGGATACGGAGCTGGGCTTTCAGACCAACCAACACAGCTACGCAGCAGATGTGGCAGCCTGCCCGCAGAATTCATTTCCCTCACTTTCTTCTGGTCCCGTGTGAATGAGCTAGACTCCTGTGGATCACTTTATCCTCTTGATTAAGCCTGTCTCTGCAGAGACCATTTTAATTTAATTCAACTTGATAGCCACGTCTCAAAATCCCCTTGTCTATCGAAACAGTACAATCTCCTGGTATTGGATACACAAGCCCTCTTCCTCCATCCTCTTCCTTCCCTTCAAGTAAAAAATGTCAAGATCCAATTTCTCTAAACTAGCTTTTAGCTCTTTGACTGATGCCCCTTGCGAGTGAATGGTACTAGCAGTGAGCCCTGAAAGAAAGCGCTAGCATACCAAGAAACGCCCCTCCTTGGCAGAACACCTGACTCTACTGAAGCATGCATGCCAGACAGAAAAACAATAAATGCCTTCCTACAACACGGTTTAAAGAAACGTTGCTTGCCAGCCATACCCGTTTTAAAAAGTAAACTAGGTACACGATAAGAAATTGCATTCACTGGCAGACATACAAATCATCTCTTCATTTTGTCAATTTGTTAGCCTAATCCTAGGAGAGGTATTGCTAAAACCTGCTGCAGAGGGTTGGTTTGCATCTACTGGTCTGATTGAACCAATGGGACTGACACCGCATTGGGATTGGCAGAGTGCAATACTTCAGATGGCTGGATGGGCAAAGTTCCCAATGTCATTAAAAATAAAACCAGGATGAGCACCTCTATAGGAAAAAAATTAACATGTCATTTAAAACCAGAATAAAATTAGTTATGTCTCTGACAGTAATAATTTTATTTCATAGCAGTGAGGCAAAAGTTGGGGAAGGCTGTGATATTCCAGGTCACTGGTAGGTTATGACTCCTCATGGGAGTCCTTGTGTATAATCCTCTTCTGCAGCACTGCTCACGTCTTGGATGTCGGAAAGCCTGTGAGAACATCTCTATTTGTGACAATAGACCATGTTTAACATGTCCAGGGCAAAAACACAAAGCTCACTCAGCACAGAGGTGGTGAGATAGCCCTGAGTATGAAGGAATAAAGGACAGTTTCCTTTGCTCTGCCAGCTTTATGCAAAGCCTCCCTATTATCCAAGGCAGCAGCAGCAAGACATGATAAAACCACCTGATATGCTAAGTGGTATGACAACTTAAAGAAACATATTGTGTAAGTGAACAAACAAGGGCTCTGATACACAGCTGTGTTGGGTAAGGATGGTGGAGAGCCTTTCTGGCAAAATGGTCCCTGGCTGTTACCGCAACAGAGGCTCTGCGTGCCAGGACTGAATGCCTTAGTCTGTAGCCACCCAAAACAGCAATGTGGCATGGTCTGTTCACATCCTCCTGTTTAACTTTCAATGGTTTGGCAACCCAGTGAAAGCCTGGAACCACCGAGAGGAAAACCTTCTTCTTGGAGGTAGGGTTAGCTCTAGCCTGAAACAGATCCAGCTGCCTTGGTTTCAAAAGATTTGGTGATACCGAAGTCATATTTAAACCTCAGCCTGAAGGAGGATTCCCCAAATACAGCTTGTGATAACCAAACCTTGAATTTATTGCTTTTGAGCTGTGCTGGGGGGGAGAACGCTGGAGAATAAATCATGTCCTTGCGTACAGGCGAGCTACAGCACAGAGTACATGAATGTAGATGTGTGTTTCAGGCTAAGCTTAAGCTGTGCCTTCTAGTATGAGAGATCACAACAGGTTTACTTGTTAAAATAACCCAGAACCTACTGGGATCATCAGGAAGAGTATGAATTAGGGCAAAATGGGGTGAATTTCTGGAATATCTATTAAAACAGGAAGTGGATGGAATTTGTAGTTTGTTATTTTTTGTCTATGGTAACTTATTAAGATCTCACAGTCTAGAAGGGACATAACCTTCTTTTCCTGGCTACCTAGTTACTGTGGGCTGGGCTATGTGTTATGCACAAGTTGTTGCTGAACTAGTGAATAATGGGAAAAAAATGGCAATAGATTTTGACTTTCCCTTTAATCTACAATGAATTAAAATGATGCCTCAGACTTACTATAAACCACAAAGACAGATTTTTGAAGACAGACCTCAAGAAACCAAAGCAGTGTATTCTGGAACATCAGTGTTTGCTTTTACAATTCATCAGCAACCGTCAACTAGCTCTAATCTTAAAATCATTACTAACATGTTAGTTTAAGAGTCAAGATCATTTCTATGCTTTGTATGGCTTATTCTTCACTTTCTTTATGAGATGTTCAAGGTAGTTTTCTGGGTAAAATTTAGATCATTCTCTTAGATGTCAACATTAATCCTAATGCACTGCACTCTCCTCTGAATGACTACAGATTACAAAGTGTCTTTGAAAAAGGATAAAATGGACATGTCATGCAGTAACCAAGTAAATGCAATCCCCGATTAATATGCAAGTTTGAAAAGTTCAGAAAATGTCATCATACTCCACAGGTGCACCTTGTTTTTTGAAAGGTCTCTCTTTGTTTTGCTTGTGTATGAATGTCATTCCACATGAATTTCACTCCAGCAGCTTTTCATAAACTCAAGTCAATGATGATGTGTTCAAATATTTGAGTGTTTCCTTTAAAACTAGAGGCAAAGAAAAAATCTCTTCGATCCGTTGACACAGCTGTGAAAGACCGTGGCGCTTGCACATAGATTTCTTTAAATAACATGAAGAGCTTCTTTTCACTATCCCACTGGTATATCTGGGAGAAGGTATAGTCACTTCCCAAGGCTAGGTAGTAATTGTTCTTGAAGGAGAAAGGCTGCAGCGTCATGGCTCCTCGGGATGGAAGAGCCTGTATCTCCACAAACTGTTTGCTATTCCATTTCATAACTCTGGAGTCACCAATGAATCTTGTGAGTGTGATGTACAGGTTATCTTGCATCCTGAAACTCTTCACAGCCAAGACATCTTCCATGTTGGGGATTTCACTGTGTGGGACAAACTTTTTGGAAGCTTTGTTCCACTGGAGTATAATGGGAACCTGGGAGCGGCTAGAGAGGATTAAATGTGATTTCCCATCTATATCGAGAAACTCAGCATCAGTGTCCCTGAACCACTCATGAAGGGACTGGTATGAGTAAAATCCTTTGTTATTCCACTTGTACACTGTTGACAAACCTGCTTTAGAGCTATCTGCTATCACAAAAAACATTTCACTGTCTATCTCAAAAAGCTCTATATCGTTTGGCTTGGAAATGCGAGATACTTCGATATCCTGGAATTTGACAAACTTTGTCCAGCTTTCATCGTACTTGTAAATGTGTGAGCCACCGAAGAGCTGTGCCACCACCACAAAGACTTGGTCACCAACCAGAATGGCTTTACATCCCACTATGGACTGACCTATTGCCCAAAGGAAAAAAAAAAAGCAAATATATTACCTCAGTACAAAGCACCTTTTAAACCACAGATATATCACCAAATCGCCCCACCCCTTTTTTTAAATCTTCACCACCTCATAATTCTGTCTTTACTACATGCTGTCAGACTTTCTTTTCATACTTTTTTCTCTGCAATAACTGGAAAGATGACTTCCAGTGTTGGAAATGCCACACCCTCACGGTGTGCCAGTATGATGTACCCTAAAATGCTCATTCCTTTTTATCCAGAATACTTTTTCTTTGTTTGTTCAAACACATGACCCCTAATATCAAACCAATTATTTAAGCCAAATTTTATTATTCCAAAATAACAAGAGTTGTTATCATCTCAT